TGATTCTCTTAGCTCTCTACTGGCCCTGGAATCGCTTAACATTAGTTCTCACCCTATTCTCGTTGATATTCAACACTGATTGGCCCACTTTTCTCTATCTTCTATTTCCATAGAGTTTTTCTGGATCCCTGACCACGTCGGTATTCACGGGAACGAGCTTTGCAGGGTATTTAACATACAAAGCAACTTACTTTGGACACAAACGTCCTCTAATTAAGCCTACCTGAAGTGAATAGAGAGAGAGGAGGCAAAATAGCTGTAACACATGAATCATTTGTCCAAAGTACTATATTGTGCATGACATTAAATATTTTTGTTTGATGTGAATTTCAGGTACTTAAAATTGATACCATCTTGAAAGATTCTTCTGCATCACTTATCTAACGTAAATTCAATCATTGAAGGGCCACATGAGTTCATCTACTAATTTCTATTGAAGTTGGTTCAGCCAGTTTCTTACAATAGCTTGTGACACCAAACAGATGGATAATACCTATTTTATATATATACATATATATATCAAAGAGTTAGCTGTACTGTTTGAAGCTAAATTTCTTGTTTTACTGTACTTTTTAAAGAACTTGTGTTATTTTATCCTACTATTGTTTTACAGATTGATTCTTCACCTAAGTTTTCTTTCACCTATGTTAGTCACTTTGTTGTGGGTGAAACCTGTATGTCGAGACTATCTCACACACAAGACATGGCCAGGAATGAATGAGACAATGTAAGTTTTTGAATTTCCAACATTTGTTTTTTCGTTTAATTAATATTTTTTAGAAGCTGAGAGGAAATGTTTTTAAGTTGTTTAATTAGCTTACAGGAAGTATTCTGATGTGGAATATGAAACTGTGAAACACAGAAGAACTGTGTAATATTTTTCAATGAGAAATACCCATAAATATTATTATTGTCAGTTTCTGTTTAAATGTGGGTGAATTCTGTATTCATTTTTCCAATAATTAAAAATCATATTATATACAGAAGGTTTTATATGAATTTGTTAAATATCTCCCGTATTGAACCTAGATTAATCACCATAATAAAAAAAGTGAAAAAGGCTAAACATTCTCTCTCTGTTCAGCACTCATGTTATGGATAAAAATGTCCTAGAGAGTGCACATAAAATTAACAGCTACCTCATATGTATTTCATTTCAGTAACTCCAAAAACAATGTTAATTTGATTTATAAAGTTTAGCAAAAAAATGTGCAGTTTATGCCAATTGTAACTTTAAGCATTTTGCGTGCATAAAATATTAGAAAACATTTTGGAATAGCTTTTTCACCAGAATTGGAAGATATGATAACAGCTGTTGCCTAAGTACATTGTTGCAAGTAGTTTAATATCCAACTATATTCAAGCTTATATGATTATGAAGAATAGGACTGTTCAAATTTAATTTTGAGCATATGAAATGAACTCTTTATGGGTTTTTTGTTTCATTTTATTTTACAGTCTTCTTAAATAAAAGTGTGTCTTCAAGAATATTTTAATTTAATACTTTGTATTATAAAAATAACAAAGGCAACATGCTCAATAAATAATACTTATTACAAGTTACACAAACAGTATACTGAATGGAAATAAAAAGAACTGTTATTACTTTAAAAAAACATTGGAAAACAAATTAAACTTTGAATATTAACATAATTTTTGATGCATGAATAATATTTTAACCTTATCAGCTTGTTGGGGGTACTGAACTATATTAAATATTTTATAGAGAATCTTTTGAAAGGATTTGTTTTTGTGCAATATATAGATTTGTTATTTTATTAATTTACAGAATGACTCCATCAGTGTTTGAAACAACTCGTATTGTTGTTGTAGTGGTGGTGGTAGTCTTGCGGTTTATTCTCATGCCTCGCTATCTCCAATCTTATCTAAACCTAGCTCCACAGAAGCTGGGAAAGTTGCGAAAGGAAGCTGGGCGTATCAGTAATATTGATTTACAAAGAATGGTTTGTTTTCTACTTTCCATTTTTTGGTGTGTAATTGGGTTTAGATAATCTATTATAGATTAAAGTATTTAAAATTCATTACTTGATTATAAACATTTTGTTTTGTTTTTCTTCTTAGTCATTAAAATAAATTGATTCTTTAATTTAATACTTAAGGAATCAAATTCAAAATAATTTAATAGCCTAAAATTGTTTTTCAGAGATGCAGACTTAAACTGTGTTATAAACATCTTAGACTTGATTGTAAAACATTGAATGACTCTGAAAACTGTTCTACGTGATCATGAAATTGAAGCTTCTAGAATTCTTGAAGCCAAAGTATACGTTTCCTAAAACGTTGCCTCTCTTACTCAGTATCAGAGTTTATCACTGTGATTATACGATTAGAAATATTTACAGACTAGTAAATAATAGATTATGAATATTAGTTGTTAACACAACACAAACTATCTGAAAACATGTGAAAGGCTTTAACATTATATGAACTTACGAACACCTTTCATGTGTTGAGTGCATACTTGCATATAAAAAATTTCATAACTTTAGGAAAAGTAATAATTCTAACTGTATCTTAAGTTTTTGCTCAAAAATATTTGAGAACTGATATTTTGTAACATTTGTTTAATGTAGTGTACAAAGAAAAACGAAAACAATGTTCAAACTTGGGTTTCTGCACAGCTCCGTGGAGTCTTGCTTATAAACCACACTCTTATTGATATTTATTTTAGAATTTGCTGCACAAGTTTATCTTCCTAAGAAACTATTGTCCCTTGAGAAAATAATCTTCAAGGTTTCATTTCTAATATGATTTTTCCCTCTCTTTCCTTGACTTTATTAGTTCAACCTCTTTTTATAGTTTCTTTAAATATTCTTTTCATTCCCTAGTGTGTGTGTTTTTTTCTTTTGTTTTAAATTATTTGTTTGAAAGCTATAGAAATTTTCTTGTTTGAAAAAGTATCAAGTAAGCCTAGTAAGGTTTAGAGCGTACATTATGTAACATCACAATATTTCAATGACCCTGATTTTTCTTTATTGATTACTGTTGTTAAATTTATCTTATTCAATCAATGTACATAAATAAAAGAACTTATAATTTATTAAAAAGGAAATATGTGTATTAGGAATAAATTTATTTCAACCAAGAAAATTGTTACCTAGTTTGACCTGACTTCATCTAGAAAAATCACCATTAAATCTGTCAGTTTCTGCAGTGTGTCTTTTTTGTGATTGATACAAGTGGTGACTACTGAAATCTGCAAAAGAAATATATTAATAAATATCGATAAAGTTAAATCCAATTGGAGCTATAAAATGGAACTTTCTGATCAACATTAAAAGAATTAAATTCTAGAATGAAATGAAGTGTTTTAATTATTTTTTAAAACAGTGTCTAAACAACAATAGTTTTGGAAATCTTGTAACATCAAAAAAGATAGAAAATTATTTTTTTCCAACCAAAACTAGATACTGTAAAGTTCATCCTAAGTTTCACGTAATTTGGTTAAGTATTTCTAGTGTGAGAAGGAAAATATCTAGTAATATCAATGATACACCTCCATTCAAGAAAGGGTTAAAATACTCTGGAAATATATTTAAAAAGCTATGGATAATCAAGATTTAATGTAAACTCAGGTTCATATAAAATTGTAAAGCTACATTCATTATATAAAAATTCCCTTGAATATATTCAAGTTAATTTCCTGCTTCATTAATGGTATTTGTAAAATTGTACAGAATTATGTAATTGCTTATGTTAACAAATGATAATTGAATAAATAGATGCACTTGTTTTACAACTGTTCAGTAAAAAGTGCACACATATTCGTAGGCTACATAAACCTTGTATTAGTAGGATCAGAGTGGAAACTTGTGAATAAGTCTTAACACATACTTCTGGATTTGACTGTTCACTTAAACTCACAAAAAAAAACAGATGATTTAAAATAATTAATTTTGTATGTTAATATATCTAGTTTTAAAAGTAACACAATAAAATAAACCACTCAGGTTTTATGTTAGGAAGTATAAGTAATCTTTTTTTTTTAATAACTTTGTCTCCCGATACATGTAGGTGGCAAGGATATTCTACTACTTGTGTGTTGTGACACTGCAGTATCTAGCACCACTGTTGTTATGTCTTTTTACCACATTTCTGCTTAAAACATTAGGTAAGTAGATGTTAATAAAAGAGTGTCTTAGAAATTAGTGGCAATGAATTATAATTCCTATTAAACTCAAGAATGTCACAAGTGCTTATTTGGTATACTATTATAAGCAATGGAAAAGAGGGGTGTATGATGAGCCAAAAACAATTATCTGTAAGAATTATTACCTTCAGACTATAAGTTGAATATTTGATCTAACTGATAAATCTTGTTATTAACAAATTTGATTAATCTACTTACATAAGATGGAGTAGGTTTTGTTGTAAAACAGATGTGAATTTTAGTATATTAGCAAGTAACAAGTGAAGAATTTTAGCATAATAGTAAGTAACAAGTGAAAAATTTTAGCATAATAGTAAGTAAGAAGTGAAGAATTTTAGTAAAATAGCAAGTAACTAGTGAAGAATTTTAGTAAAATAGCAA